GTCTGGGGGGGGGGGGGGAGCTGCACAATTGCTACCAGTTTTCTTTGACTATTTTTGACTTCTCAAGTATGAACTTCCCTTCCTTGTATTTTTGTGTTTCCTCATAAGCTCGTTCATATTTCCAACCAAGCACTTCACTGCAGTCGGAGCAAGAGACATCAGCAACAGTGTGGAGACCAGTCATTAGCTGCCTATCCTCCTTCGGCCCCACCACAACATTCATCGCATGAGAGAACAGAAAGGCGCGACCATGTCTTCCCTGCAATAGAGTGTAAGAATCCATCAGATGCAGGATCAAAAAAAGAGTTGATGAAGGTCAAATTATACAATAATGTGCTTTAAGCAAATTAAGTCACCATCAAAGCACAACAAGGAAAAATATCCATAAAATGATTAATGCAAGACGAAATCAATGATCGTTTAATGGACTCTAATCAAGTAATTGCAACAATGCTCACATTAATTGATGAAACTTTTTAACTCTTCTTTACTGATTCTTACATTCTTGCTCTTACAAGAGAGCTCTCTACTGAATTCTTGATCAAACTCATAACTAAAGCAGAATCAGCATTAATCTTTCCCTGACCTGAAAAGCCTTAGAAATGACATCATCATGAAGGGCAACATGATTTCTGCAATTACAGCAACTGTACAACCTTGGCCCAACCACCTCTGCCATTGACAAATACAAAACAACACCCACGAGCTAACCAGTTCCACAAAAATCAAGATCCTTTCTGGGAATCCATAAAAACCCACAAACAGTATTAATCCATTTTAACAAAACAAAATCAAGAACCGTAAAAGTATCCAAGTGAAGAGAAGAAGCTCACTTTTTACACCAACAAGGTATATGTGATACAACAACGCATCATTTGCTATCTTTTCTTTGACAAGAAATTTGCAGCAAACGCAAAACTGAGAAATTAAAAAAAAAAGTTGCAAAGATCAAATCTTTAGTTGAAGACGGAACCAATTGACAGCTAAAGATGGCACCGAGCATCAAGAAAGCGAAAAACAAGAACAATCCAATTGCAAATGACAGATGATCCAGGCCAAGAAAGAAATAAAACCCAGTAATTCAAACTAATTTCCTTGAATAGCCCATGAAATATACCTAGACTAGCTGGCTCCTCATGCTAAAGACTCACTTCATCTCCAAAGAAAACAAGAGAACTTCGATAATCATCATTTAATATTAAAGATTTACTTGGATAATGATGACACGTATTTTGTAATGTAAACAAAAAAACCAAACCTGCCCCGGGTAATACAGAAGTGGACGCCTGTAAGATACGACAGGGAAGGGGAGAGTGGGAGTTTTAGGGTTCTGTTAAGTGTGTCAGAGTCTGGTGAATTTCTGATTAGGAAGATGACAACTTGCATTTCTAGATGTTAAGGGGGTTCTAGCTCAAAATTACAAAGCTACCCATGTCTGAATGCTCTTTCAAGAATAATGATTTGACACTGTTGCAAATTGAGAGGCCGTATGAACCTTCCCCTACGTTGACAATGGACGGTGGATTCTTGGGTCCATTTTGTCCTCCTTTATCGTGCATGTGAGCAACAAGAGGTTTGCGCTTGAGATGGCCGATTAGTCCTTTAATGAATTAGATTTGGCTTCTTAGCTTTAAGTAAATCGTTTTTATCATATTAATGAATTTACAATAAAATAATAATATAAAAAACACACTCCACTATGATTTGAGACCCTATATAGAAACCATGATCGATTGTGTCAAAATATAGCATTAGTAAATACATGCATTTCACTACAATATTGCAGTCTCCAATCGGCTAGCAATTGCAATTTCATGATGAATGTGAAGGAATAACACACGGAGCAGTGCCCAGGGTTTGCCCTGTGGAAGACATGTTATGTTTGTCCATATATTGTAAGGTATATAAAACCTTTTCAAGTTCAGCTTATCTCTTTTAAAGTATAAATTGGATAATTAGCATGCAAAATAAAAAAATATAATGATTTAACATAGCAACAATTTTTTTCCGATGAAATAGCATATTTTTAGATGTTTGAGTTATTTAATTAATATTGCAGTTCACAATAATAATATTTAATTAATGTCACAGTAATTATTATTGTTCTAAGTCGCTACATTAATTTAATTTAATTTATTTTTATATTTAACTTTTTTAAATCAATCATAATTGATGGTATTCATAATTAATTTATTATTAATTCAATAAACTCTAAATTTAACCTAATTTAATAAACTTTAAATTTAATCTAAACAGTTATTTTATTCCAACTAAACCAAAAATAAAATCATAGAAATATAGTATATTTACCTTACTTATAAGACTAGAAAAGGGGTTGAGATGGTGGTGACAATGATAAATTTTAAAGAAAAAAACATCTAAGAATGATTAGAGACATGAATAAGTTTAATTTTTAGGTGTTTTAAGAGGAAAAAACAAGTGTTCGATGGATTTTTTTTTAAGAGAGATAAGGGCAAAGGGTGTTGGTTTGGAGAGAGGAAGAGTTCTTGCATCTACGTATTCTTTAATCCAATGAGGCATTTACATATGATATGTCATATTTCAGAAGTATGATATGTTTAAATACTATTATTTTAAAATATGACAAGATAAAAGTGTATTATTTCACTAAATTTTTTTCAATGGTGTTATTCTGCCAAAACTTTTAACTTACCATGCTAATTCGTTTTTTTTAAAAAAACCTCTCTTAATAGAATGTTTGTTTTTGTGGTTGAATCTATTTTTTAAAGTGCTTTTCAAGCTAGTTTTTTCTTAAAAAAATCAAATTGATGTCTTTTATATACTTTTTTGATAGTTTTGATATAATAATGTGAAAAAAATATTATTTTAATATCTATTAAATTGAAAACACTTTTTAAAAGCATAAGTGCATTACTAAACACACACTTAGCTCTTTACGCAATTAGTTAATGTCCAATCTTTTGGATGGCTTATCCATGCACTCTCGTGCGTTCATTTTTAATTTAGTTCTTCAATATTTACTAGTTTATTAGGTCATATTGCACTGCAAGTGAATTCAATTATTTTTAACATAAGAGGAATTGTTCAAACATTGATAACATGTTTTCTCATGAGAAATATAATAGTAAACTCAAATATGATGTATATTTAACAATATTTTAAAAACAAATAGTAATATGGTTACACAAATAATAATATTTTTTTTCAAATATAAAGACTATGACATATTAAATCGATCCAAGTTAACTTGATAAATCAACAACTCGAGTCACGAGACTATAATACACATATATAAAACAAATCAAAATAAATTATGAGGGTCAATTCCTAATCAACTTAATATTGAATAATATATATATATATATATATATATATTACAATAAGGACACAAAAAACCTATCTCAATCAACTCAGGTTAACATATCAAACCTGTAACTCGGGTCATGAAATTAAAATAATACTATAAAAATAAAAAAATAAAATTCAATTCCCCACCAATCTAATGTTGAAGGATGAAATTTTTTTTTAAAAAAAACAACTTAAGTCAAACTAGACTAACATGTTAAAAAAAAACTTAAGTCAAACTAGACTAACATGTTAAATCCAAGACATGATAATGAGACGAGGTCACCTTCATAAAAAAAAGATTACAAAACTCTATTCCTAATAGATTTAATGTTGAAATTTGAAATCGAGATAATAATAAATAAATTCATGAGACCAGGATATCTCCGTAAAAATCAAATTAAAAAATATTATAAAGCCTAATTCCAAAATAAAATAATATTAAAAAAATTAAAAGAAAAATTAAATAAAAAAGAGTGAATTGTTGACTTGATTGATTTGATAAGTCCAAAGACAACATGAAAAACAAAAAAGTAGTTTGACTAATTTTTTTTAATGACATCTTTTTTATAAAAAAATATTGAGATAACAATATATTGGATTGACGCAGGTCAACCTAGGTTAACATGTAAAATTGATGACCTAGGTTATGAGACTCTATTAACATTATATAAAACAAAACAAAAAATATTTTGAAGCTTATTTTTTAATTAACCTAGTGTTGAAGGATGAAATTGAAAAATAAAATCAATTAGTATAAAGTTCAATTTTCAACTAACCTAGTGTTAAAGGATGAAATTGAAAAATAAAATCAATTAAAAAAGAAGCCTAAAAATAAATAGAATTAACCTAATTAATTTACTTAAGTTATGAGATGGAATAATTACATGGAAAACAAATAAAAAAAATTACAAATCTCAATTAAAAAAAATTCAACCTAAAAAATAAAAAGAGTTAACCCAAAGCCAACATGTCAAACCCGTTACTCGGGTGCCTTATAAAAAAAATAAAAAAAATAAAACTTAATTTTCAACCAACCTAATGTTAAAAGATAAAATCTGAAAAAAATAAATTAAAAAAATAGCATGAATCAACTCAGGTTAACTTGTTAAATTTACGAATAAGGTCACGAGATCAAGATAAATTCATAGAAAAAAAATTATGAAACTCCACTTCTAACCGATCTAGTATTGAATGTTAAAATTAATAGAAAAAAAAAAAACTTATTTCATAATACTAGTATATAACCTACATAAATAAAAAAATAAAATTACAAAGCACGAACTCTCAAAACCATAGTTTTGAAACCTGGCCCGGCCCGACGGATTTGACTCGGGACTTGGATGACCCGAGATTGGAACTAGACAAGTTTGAAGAAAAACAAGGGAAGAAAAAACCTGGTGTGATCCGGTCAAAAACCCGGTTGCATACTGTTAACTTTTTTTTTACTAAAACTACATCGTTTTGAATTTTTTTTTTAAAAAATTAATCTAGGTGACTCAGTGATCTAATCAAAACCTAAAATCCTAACCTTGGATCAGACTGAGTCTAAAAACTATACTAAAAATAATCGAAGGATGGCATAAAAAAAATTAAATGAAAAAAAATAGTTGTTGAAGGGTTAAATTAATAAAAGTAATAATACCATAAATAGTATTTATTGTGTTAGTGCAACAACTTAAAGAAGAATATCATAGTTTGTTTATGTACACACACATTACCAAAAATAATTATACATATTTAATTGAAAATTTAATAGAGTTTACTTTATATTTTTAATGTTAAATTATTAACTCAAAAATTTCTTAATATGTAAAAAATAATCCCAATACTCATCCCATCATACTAGTTTTTCATAATTCAATCATAATATCAACTTTTCATTTTGTTATTTTTGTTTTTCAAATATTTAAAGCTAAATAGTTCTGAGCATACATTATTTTTTTTAAAATAAAAATATTTAAATAAGTATACAACAAAACTATAAACTAACTTAATAAAAACAACTTCCTTAAACTACATCATTCATAAAAAAAAGAGTTAAACATTATAATTATTAAACATAAAATTACATTACACAAAATTTTGATTCTTCCAAATATATCATTTACTTAACAAAAAACACATATTTAAAAAACTACTTCCCGACTCAGGGATATATATATATTAAGGATAATTAAAATTTATGCTTCACAGTAAACAAACAATTTAAGAACTAAAAAAATATAGACAAAAGCATCATTCATTTGTTGAATATTACCAACCAATCATGTTTTTTTTTAAAAAAATTTTCTCTCTCTATTTTTAAACTCAATTTTTTTAAATTTTCTCTCTCTATTTTTAAACTCAAAAACTAAAATATAAACAAAAAAAATATCAGACCAAAACTAAAAATACTAAAGCTAAGAAGACCAAAAAAGTCAACAATGAATATGTGTACTAAACTATATTTTTACGTGAATTTAAGATAGATTATGTTGGTTTTTATGTTTCTTAATTTTATTTTTATTCTTTGAATTGTATCTTTATACTATAAATTAAAATTATATCTAACTATATTGATCTTCAGTCAACTTTTGACACCTTATCAAAACTATTATTTCTTAATAATATATAAAAAAATGAAAATTCAACTGACATAACATTAAAATTAGCGCATGAAAGGATAAAATTATATATAAAAAAACACAATGACCAAAAATAAATTAATTGCCATAGGAATTATTTTTTTTGAAAAAAAAATTAATTGATATCTGAATAATTTTAAAGAAGTAGATGTTTAGTTACCTTTACAATGTAGTGTGATATTGTGGGATTAGATTATTTTGAGGAGTTGTTTGAAAATATAATAATGATTATTTTTTAAAATATTTTTTATTTAAAAACACATTTAAATAATATATTTTTTATTTTAAAAA